ATCTATGGATTTTTACAGCTAACGGCCACTAGGGGACCTCCTAAATCTATGGATTTTACAGGTTACAGTCCACCACCTTTAACTCTATGGGCTCTATGGCCGGTCCGCGCCCCCCACCTTTAAGCGGCGGGCTCCAGCAGGAAAAGCTGGAGGCCGGAAAAGAGTGAGACAGGTAGCGCGCAAAAGTAAAAGTGGAACCGAGAGTGGTACGAGAGACAGAACGAGAGCAAGATAGACAGACATTTACGAGAGCGAGACAGTTTGTCCCCGTACCACTGGTTGAAAACCACTGCTGTAGATCACTGCCGGTACGTGCGCTGGGAGCGCACCGTTTAAGTTTGAAAGTTGAAAAGTTTGTGTGTCTGAAACGCTATGTGATACAGTACAGTTTACACAGCACAGTACATGTTCTGTAGCTACTATTGCACTGCGGCTTATAGTCCAGTGCGGCTTATATATGTACACATCATTCAATTTAGCTGCTGCGGCTTATATTCAGGTGCGCCTTATAGTCCGAAAATTACGGTACCTGCCTCCTGCAAACTGTTAAAACAAATGCTTCAACTTGTACCATTTAGAATCTGTAAGTTTGAAATTGTCGTTTTTAACACTGTAGTTTACTATCTTAAGTTGGCGTGACGTTGAAGTCCTGCTGCTGTACTCGGCTGTAGTTCCTATATCTTAACGTTAGCATTTTGCTTCTGGCGATTAGATTTATGATTCGAAAATGATAAAAGTAGGTTTGACATGTGGAGATTATCCGGCTGAACAAAACGTGCATTTCTCATCCACAGACCTTATTTTTTACAGTATTCCAAAATCCTATGGAGAAATCCCATTTTGCTTTTTTTATCGAGGGAACTCATGCGCAGCTTACTTCCGGGTCGGCCTAAAAAATACGTCATCCCTGCACCACTCTATTGCAGTCTTAATAATGATGTATGTTGCTCTGTCCCGTGTTTCACAGCTGAACGCTTGTCCCCCTGTCTCTTGTGTTTTACAGAAAGATTCCACGGTGAAGTTCCACGTCCTGCTGACGTCCTACGAGCTGATCACCATCGACCAGGCCGTGCTGGGCTCCATCGAGTGGGCCTGCCTGGTGGTGGACGAGGCCCACCGGCTCAAAAACAACCAGTCCAAGGTAATACAAACACACAGCACTTATATTTAACTTTCCCTGTCAACATGTATATATTTAACTTTTTAGATAATACAAAAATAATTGCAGCCCTAATTTCAAATGCATATCTGATTTATATACATTTCAATTCAATGTGTTTATATTTCACATATATTTCACAACACCTGCATTGCTGCTGTGTTGCACATGATGATTATAACTCACTAATCAATCAAACTTTATTTATGTAGCACTTTTCAAACACAGAAGGTAACAACAAGGGCTTTCTAAACAGTAAACAATACAAAGCAAAATAAGAAAGTAATAAGAACTCTCTTCCTAGTTTATGAACAGAGCAACACATAACCCTGAGATCAATGGAAACACTGAACACCAACGGACGTCAATAAACACAGGACTCAATAAAGCATAATGTTATGTCACGTATTGTTACGTTATGTTACGCTACGTTACGTCTTGTTAGGTTACTTAATATTATGTTATGTCGCGTTATTTTACCCAACGCTGCGTAATGTTACGTTATTTTACGTTATGTTACATTTCAATTGAAAGCCAAATGTATGGGGTCTTGAGTTGAGTCTTAAAAGTATAAACATGCTGTGTCGCCCTCAGGTCTTCTGTATGTTGTTGAGTTTTATTATTACGTTTAATACCTAAAATTGAACGTATTTTTTCTCCCTGTCTTTTGTTAGTTCTTTCGCATCTTGAACAACTACCCTCTGCAACACAAGCTGCTGCTGACCGGCACTCCTCTGCAGAACAACCTGGAGGAGCTCTTCCACCTGCTCAACTTCCTGACCCCCGTCAGATTCAAGTCAGTACTCACACCTCCAGAGCATATATATATATATATGAGCTCATTTCGCTCCATTGGCTGCCCATACATTTTAGGATTCATTTCAAAATCCTTTTATTTACTTTTAAATCCCTAAATGGCATGGCCCCACCATATCTTTCTGAGCTGCTACACCCCTACACGCCCAACCGCCTTCTCAGGTCAGCTGATCAACTGCTCCTGAATGTGCCCAGAACCAGGTCTAAGCTCAGAGGGGACCCTCCTTCCTCTGTAGAGACTCCCACACTGTGGAACGATCTGCCCCTGCACATCAGACAGGCCGCCACACTGTCTGCTTTTAAATCGCTTCTGAAAACTCACCTCTTCTCCTTAGCGTATTGACATATTTTAGATTGTTGCTTTTAAATTGTCTAATGTTTTTACTTGTGGATGTTTTATGGTGTGTGAGCTATGCTGTGTGATGTTTTGTTTTGTTTATTTGACTGTGCAGCACTTTGGTCTGGAGGTTTAAAGTGCTTTACGGGAACTCCACCTTTCTCAAAGAATATGTACACTAACACTTGAACCTGAACACACACATGCACGTGTGCAATATGTGGTGTAATGTGTTTCGGGGCCATAACATAAAATACAACAGGATTGTACGGTTATGAATGCATTATAAGTTAGTTATGATGTAGTTCAAACAATATTGGATGATAGTCATTTTTGTGTGTGTTTTGGACTGAGATAAATCATGGGTCAACATTGACCCGCCAACACCATGAACGGTAACAGCTTTCGAACACAACACAAGGGTTAACTATGAGGACCCCCCTCCCCACCCTCCTGTATTCATGGGGTCATTTCTCTCCGCAGCAACCTGGAAGGCTTCCTGGAGGAGTTTGCAGACATCGCCAAAGAGGATCAGATCAAGAAGCTGCACGACATGCTGGGCCCTCACATGCTCCGCAGGCTGAAGGCCGACGTCTTCAAACACATGCCTTCAAAGACGGAGCTCATCGTGAGGGTGGAGCTCAGCCCTATGCAGAAGTACGTAAAGAGACGATGTGTAGTGATATATTCTAACAGGTGTTCAGTTACACACACATGAAAATCAAACCAGTCTATATGATGGCGTAAAACTTTTGTGCATTATCTGATGTATGAACATAGTTTTTAAAAAGTATTAACGTGTCGGAGAAGAATCGCTGAATATATTATTCTATACTTTCTGTGTGTGAACCTATTATAGAGACAAACTTGTGTATTGTGTAGCTTAAAATTAAACATTTAGAATATTGAGAAAATGTACTTAATGTTTTTCTTTACCAACAAATCGTCCATACCTCAAATATTAAAATTAGAATCATAAAAAATGTAAGGAAAAGCAGCAAATATTGACATTTGAGAATCAAGAAACATCGAAATATCCCACGTTTTGCCACGAAAAGATACTTATGATAAGTTAACTATTTATTCCTACAACACTTTGAATATTAATCTGTATTTTTAATCAAAATTACAACTTATTGAAGACTATGGATATGAATTCTCCTGCCTCTTAATTTCCGATACTATTGGATATAAAGTCTGAAATAAGTGTTTTTGACCTTTTCCTTTTGTCTAATCTATTCCCATTATCTTTTCATATTCTCATTGTTTTTCGTAATAAAGGAAGTACTACAAGTTCATCCTGACGCGTAACTTCGATGCTCTGAACACTCGAGGAGGAGGAAACCAGGTGTCTCTGCTCAACGTGGTGATGGACCTGAAGAAGTGCTGCAACCACCCCTACCTGTTTCCTACCGCCGCCATGGTAACATACATATCTCAAATAAATGACATCCTTTGTTTATATACGTTGCTGAATGCTCAGGATAGCAAAACAAACACTCATAGTAAATGTCCCCTATTATACTGTTTCTCATTAATATATTATAGGTCTCAGATATATACAAAACATGTCTCTGAAGTGTTTAGCTCCAAACACCAAACAGATAATTGCAGCATCCCATAATCCCCTCTGTTTCAGCCCTGTTTCAAAAGTGCTGATTCTCTGTCTGTTACTTTATGGCGCATTTCCACTGCAGGGCCTCACACGGCTTAGTACGGTATAGTTAGGCCCTGGTAGGCCAGGCTCACTTTATGCTGCGTTTCCATTACAGTTTAGTAGCTGGGGTAGTAACTATAGTAACGCAGTGTAGGCGGAGCCGTGGCGTCATCTTCAATGCGAACCACAAAAC